TTAGAGCAACTCGGACCAAAAAAAAAAGGCAGCAATACATATTTGTATAATAGAAACGATAAAGCCAAGCGGTCACTTCTAAGCGATAAAAATCAGTTGCTGAGATCCTTTCATTAAAAACCCTGCTTCACAGATAAAGAAAGATGCTCTCAACAAAATAAAAAAGAAAGTACCAAAGAAACTTTGTGCAATGTAGGAGTCACGGCTCAGCAAGTAGGCTGATGAAACACAGTCCTATGTCGATGGACATACGATGCCATAAACGAAGTCTATGGATCACAGTCCACAGGCTGCTTGCACGGCATTTGAACAAAAATGGAACTCACCTATTGACAGACAAGGTCCGCATTTTAGAAAGATGAACTGAAAACTTTTGTCACGCTCTCAACTGACCGGCTGCTACAAATGATAATGCAATTGCTTGTTTACTGCAGGGGAAGATCCCCCAAGAGCTAGTCAATAGTCCAATTGAAGATGAAGTTTGGAGGCCATCCAGAAACTCTCTTCACACAAAATCCCCAGAGAAGATGCAATCCCATTTAAAATCTACAAAGCATGAGGCGACGTCCTGACTAAAAGACAGACATTAACATCTGAGTCGATGTGGAAAGCTAAGTGCTGACACTCAGCAATTCATGGATCCAAATATAGAATGTATACATAAGAGAAAGAGCAGTAGCCAAACCTTTGACAACGATATAGGCATTTCTCCCCTTTCCATAGCTGAGAAGATCTTGGCAAGAGTCTTACTTCATCGGTCACAACTACACCTTGAACAATGACTTCTTCCCGAAAGCCGATGTTGAGTCAGTTTAGCACGGGGCACAACTGGCATGATCTTTGCCGCACGCCAACTCCAGGAAAAAATTCCAGAGCATCACAGCGGCCTGTTCATTACATTTGTTACTGTGACCAAATAATTTTAAATCAGTCAGTAGATGTGGGCTGTGGAACACACTGGAGAAGTTTGGCTTTACGAATATATTTTTGGCCGGGGTTATTGATTATATAGATGATTCTGTGGCTTTTCCTGAAATTATTGGCGTAAAACACGGCTCTGTACTAGCCCCAACAAACTTTAGCATGGTCTTCTCAACAACACTGACATGCTTTTCTTGACGATGTTCTTATAAGATATATTACAGACGGAGGGCTATTTAATCTTAAAGGGCTACAAGCTTTTACGAAAGTTATAGAAAAGTTTATTCGAGAGCTCTTCTTTGCTGATGGCAGTGCTTTAAATGTAAGCTCACAACTGAAAATGAAGCAAATACTTTCTTGCTTTGCTAAAGCCTGCGACAAATACGGCCTTGCCAGGAATACGAAAAAATACAGCTTCAAAAATATCTTACAAAGAAGCTAAAATATGAATGAAGAGACAGAATCTCCAAGCAGTGGGAAAATTCAAATATTTAGTCAGCATCCTCGCCAGGTCAGTAGCAATAGATCATGAGATTTATAACCCCATTTTCAGAGCAAATGTTGCATTTGGAAGACACCGCAAGAGTGTTTTGGAGCGAAGTTCTCTCAGTCTTTTTACTAAGCTGAAAATATCTAGGAAAATCGTATTAACATCCTCTATGCTTATATCGAGACGTAAGCTTTGAAAAGCAGACATGCTTGACAGTTGAGCCTTCTTCATCTACGATGCATTCGTCAACATCTTGGTATAATGTGGCATGACAAAGTACCTGAGACAGAAGTCCTACAATGGCTGATTTCATCTGCAAAAACATGCGCCTACAAAAAGATCAAGACAGATGTTCGGGGCATGTTGCAAGAATGCCATACAGCAGAATTCCCAAACGACAAATGTTTGGTAAAAGTTCCAGTATAAAAAATTTCGTAGGTTGTCAGATTAAAACGTTTCAAAGACTGTCTAAAAGTGAGAGACACTTTCCATGGTCTGTGCAAGCTGTCGTGACAGACTCACGGTCGTAGCACATTCCTCAGCGAATGAGCGCACCAAGCTGGCGTGACAGACTCACGGTCGTGGCACAATCCTCAGAGAATGAGTGCACCAAGCTGGCGTGGCAGACTCATGGTCGTGGCACAATCCTCAGAGAATGAGTGCACCAAGCTGACGTGGCAGACTCACGGTCGTAGCACAATCCTCAGAGAATGAGCGCACCACTCACGCCCAAAGAAAGTGCACAGAAAAAAAGGAAAACCAATAAAATCCAACTAGGACCTAAAAGTCGTGTGTCGCACGTGCAGGAAAGCTTTCCAGTCACAAACAGGACTTGTAGTATAATTGCGTACTCACCATGGAATATAGACTTAGTCCTTTTCTCTTGCGGAGGACGAACAAAACCACGTGTGCATGTATAATTGTGCAACAGTGTTGTGTACACGTGTTATGTATCTATGCTTATGTGCATCTGTGTATATATTTATCTTTGTATATGTGTATCTGTGGGTATGTCTATCGGTGAATATGTGTACACTTGTTAATGTGTATATTTTATGTGTTGTGTATCTGTGTATAATGAATCTGTGCATGTGTATCTATGTATAGAAGTCTATGTGTTTATGTGTTGTGTATATGTGTAACTATGTATAAATTGTATGTGTCGGAAATTATTAAACAAGGCTAACAAGAATTGCTTTTTTTTATTTGTTTATACTGCGCTGATAAGTTCCAGGGGATATGTAATTAATCAAAATTGTATTAATTAATAGCTAATTCATTTTACCGCGTGTGTTTCCTGACTTTCAAATATGTGGAGTCGCAAGTAGTTGTCTCAGAATTCTGGGTGATTTAAAGAACTGGTGGAGAATCATGTCAGAAACAGTAATATAAGAAAACCCAATGTTTGTGTGTAAATAATGGCAAATATACGTACATATATTATCAATAATCTCTGGCTTTTTTTTTTTTACCTATTAGAATAACTTAACGGGTGTCAGTGAAATAAGGTTGTGCTAGCAGGTGTCAGTGAAATGAGGTTGTGCTAGCAGGTGTCAGTGAAATGAGGTTGTGCTAGCAGGTGTCAGGGAAATGAGGTTGTGCTAGCAGGTGTCAGGGAAATGAGGTTGTGCTAGCAGGTGTCAGTGAAATGAGGTTGTGCTAGCAGGTGTCAGTGAAATGAGGTTGTGCTAGCAGGTGTCAGTGAAATGAGGTTGTGCTAGCAGGTGTCAGTGAAATGAGGTTGTGCTAGCAGGTGTCAGTGAAATGAGGTTGTGCTAGCAGGTGTCAGGGAAATGAGGTTGTGCTAGCAGGTGTCAGGGAAATGAGGTTGTGCTGGCAGGTGTCAGGGAAATGAGGTTGTGCTAGCAGGTGTCAGTAGAATGAGGTTGTGCTAGCAGGTGTCAGTGAAATGAGGTTGTGCTAGCAGGTGTCAGGGAAATGAGGTTGTGCTAGCAGGTGTCAGGGAAATGAGGTTGTGCTAGCAGGTGTCAGTAGAATGAGGTTGTGCTAGCAGGTGTCAGTGAAATGAGGTTGTGCTAGCAGGTGTCAGTGAAATGAAGTTGTGCTAGCAGGTGTCAGTGAAATGAGTTTGTGCTAGCAGGTGTCAGGGAAATGAGGTTGTGCTAGCAGGTGTCAGGGAAATGAGGTTGTGCTAGCAGGTATCAGGGAAATGAAGTTGTGCTAGCAGATGTCAGTGAAATGAGGTTGTGCTAGCAGGTGTCAGGGAAATGAGGTTGTGCTAGCAGGTGTCAGTGAAATGAGGTTGTGCTAGCAGGTGTTAGTGAAATGAAGTTGTGGTAGCAGGTGTCAGTCAAATGAGGTTGTGTTGGCAGGTGTCATTGTCATCATGCTAGGCTAACAAGTATCATTAGAAACTTTCTATGACAACAGGTGTGGGTGAAATCATGCTGTTCCAACAGGTGTCGGTGAAATCATGCTGTTCCAACAGGTGTCGGTGAAATCATGCTGTTCCAACAGGTGTCGGTGAAATTATGCTGTTCCAACAGGTGTCGGTAAAATCATGCCGTGCCAACAGGTGTCGGTGAAATTATGCTGTTCCAACAGGTGTCAGTGAAATCATGCTGTTCCAACAGGTGTCGGTGAAATTATGCTGTTCCAACAGGTTGCGTGAAATTATGCTGTTCAAACAGGTTTCGGTGAAATCATGCTGTTCCAACAGGTGTCGGTGAAATTATGCTGTTCCAACAGGTGTCGGTGAAATTATGCTGTTCCAACAGGTGTCGGTGAAATTATGCTGTTCCAACAGGTGTCGGTGAAATTATGCTGTTCCAACAGGTGTCGGTGAAATAATGCTGTTCCAACAGGTGGCGGTGAAATCATGCTGTTCCAACAGGTGTCGGTGAAATCATGCTGTTCCAACAGGTGTCGGTGAAATTATGCTGTTCCAACAGGTGTCGGTGAAATCATGCTGTGCCAACAGGTGTCGGTGAAATTGTGCTGTTCCAACAGGTGTCGGTGAAATTATGCTGTTCCAACAGGTGTCGGTGAAATTATGCTGTTCCAACAGGTGTCGGTGAAAACTCTGTTGTGCTAAAATAATATATAAATAAAGCCTAATTAAATATACCTGGCATTAAACAGTTGTCTATAAAGGAGCACGTCCAAGTCTAAGATAGTTTTCCAGCTGCAGCATTTCATTTATAATTTTAACTTTACACTTGGCTGAATTAAATTTGACCAAACTTCACCTGAACCATGCATTGTTTTTTGTTTTTCACTTCCCCGAGCTTGGTACGGCTTAACTATAAACCAACCAGTGCAATGCGTTTTGTTTAATCATTCGTTTACCATTAAATAAAATTATTTAAATCAAAAGAAATATGAAAAAAATATCTTTTAATCACCTGGTTAATTTTGTTGGTCATAGCAGCCTCCTGGTGCAACCGAGTGGATTATTGAAATGTAAGATTTAAATAAGCCGAAATTTCTGAAAGGAATTTTACCCGGGGTTAATTTTTCTTTGAGGCCCGCCTCATGTGGCTGAGGGCGAAAACGTTCTCATATCTCTGTAGTCAGGATTTGTTGTTTTTTTCTTCTCTTATCTAAGGCCTCAAACCCGTAAAAATGTTTCTCAACTGCGCCTACCCACGCCAGGTCCTCAGTCTTGAACACACTGCGTCGTAGAGGTAAACATCTGTTTTAAGACTTGTAGGGGGAAATCAATACGGAATTGAAAACATTGAGACAGTCTTGATACAGAAATCTGCTCGTTATAATTGGATTTGTGTAAACGAACTTGAATTTAAATGATATCATGTAAGTATAAAGATATAATGTAAGTATAAAGATATCATATTAGTATAAAGATATCATATAAGTATAAAGATATCATGCAGGTATAAAGCTATCATGTAAGTATAAAGATATCATGTAGGTATAAAGATATCATGTAAGTATAAAGATATCATTTAAGCATAAATGACCTTTCGATACGTTCTATTTGTAAAACACGGATAGATTCAATTCGTCACCTTAAATGAAATTTAAAAGTCAAATGTATTTTGTATTTAAAATTGAATCAATATCTTCCTGCTGTTTACATCATACTGGCATGCCAAGGCTGGAGAAACTAGAGTTGTTGACGTCCTCGGTGGCCGTGAAATATGCTGCCCCTAATTCTCAAATACTGAAATGCTTACAATTTAGCTTAAAAAGTATGTGAAGCGTGCCGAAAATTCCGCCCCCGAAATATGTGCGCCCCGGGCTCATCTGCCCCTTTCAGCACTTCTTCATATTCCCGAGAACGAAATTGTGCAGGTCTGTACTCTCTACACATTAAGCAAAAGAATCATATTAATAGAAGCATGGCGTGTATAGGGAAGGCTGCGACTATTCGGACCCGGGTACCAGAAGTGAGAGGTTGGGATTTAAAAAAAAAATAAAAATATTATTTTGGCTTTGTAAGACAAAATGAGGTATCAAATAAAAGGTAATTGATTGGACTTTATGTTTGTAAACTTACTTCTTCCGTTTAACTAAGATAAACGACCACAAATGACATCCGAATAGCATTGAGTTTAATGGGACCCGGGTGCGAATAGCGGGTATGCGTGTCCGGGTACCTCATGTTGTCTTACAAACCCAAAAATAATATTTTAAATCGTTTTTTAATCCCAACCTCTCGCGTCTGATACCACTTCGTATAGGTAATTTCATACAACTTAATGAAGAAATTGATATTTAAGTTTACGGACCCGTCTTATCAGCACAGTAAACATTGTTATAGCATGTAGCTATATGTAGCACCTGTTATTTACCATTAAGCGATAATAATGACAGCAAAAACCAGATCTGCGTATCTCTACGAGAATCAACAATGTCAAACTCAAATAATAATAATAATCTTAATAAAATACTGAGTTGTGTGTTGGATACAATATAAGCAGCTCGTAAATATACTATCAATTTTTAAAAATATTTTTTTAAGGATTTAAAAAAAAAAAATAGGAATAGTATTTCAGGCCTTAAAAATGTCTTCAGTCACAAAATCCGTGGTTGTGTGTGTTGATATCTGATCTTCCATTCTCCTAAGCTCTATTTGTTGATTTAATGTTACGTCCGGTTCGAAACAAGTAGAGATGTTTGACTACAGCTACAGCCCTGTTTTGTAATGTGTGTCATGCCTTGGGACAAGTGTCAAGACATTGTGACACACTCTGTCTCACACAAACGCACACACAAACACTTTCACACACAGACACACACGCACGCACGCACACACAGACATGCATGAATAAACATTTACAGTTACACACACAAACACAAACACATACACAAACACAAACACATACACAAACACAAACACATACACAAACACAGACACGTGCACGCACACGCAAGCACAGCCACACCTATCCGAGGATGTCTTTCAAAGCAGAAGGCAATTGATTTCTTTTTGAGCCGTGACTCGCTAAAAGATTGCCTTTTGTTAATGACAAGATGATCACATATTAATGTTACATCGACAGGTTTGACACCCATACGTTAGTATTGAATTGACATCAAGCTTCTAAACTCGTCAAAGTAACATTCCAGTGTGGTCACAGTGAGCTTCATGTAGCACTCAACATCGTAAGGCTTAAACGTAGAAAGAGAATGAGAGATTGTGTCAGAGCAGATGGAAGATAATCGAATATGAGTTACAGCAATAGTGGCGTAGCCAGTGTTAGTACAAGCCGAGGGGGGGTTCAAGATTCCCCCCCCCTACCCCACTTTTTACACGAAAGCTCACCGCAGTTGGCTGAAAATACCAGCCATCCATATTAAGGCACAAAATCACGCCCAGGGCGGATTTCCTTCTCTTAAACCAGTGGTTCTTAATATGGGTTCGATTGAACCCCAGGGGTTCGGTGAGTCAGTCTCAGGGGTTCGGCGGAGGTCCAAACAAAATTAGAAAAAAAATCATATTTTATTTTTTTCTATTAAGATGGGTTCGGTGAATGCGCATATGAAACTTGTGGGGTTCTGTATCTCCAAAATGGTTAAGAACCACTGTCTTAAACTGTTTCCTACGTCACTGCACTGAAATGCATGGTTAACAAGTATTAAAAGAAGAGACATCACTATAAAAATGGCCTTGTTCGGGCTGTCATGTTTAAATAGAAATAGTGGTTATAGTGGTAATAATCCCGGGCCTAAAATACAAACAAAAGTAACATGTACTACAAGCAAATTTGCTTTCAGAATTTTTTTTAACTCATTAGAAAAATGTTAATAAATAGACGCAAACTCCCCTCTTATGTGAAATTGTGTCTTCACACGACACGGTCAGCTGATAACTAAGAACCTGTATTTAACAAGTTCATGTGACATTTGTGTCCAACCTCCACTCTTAAAACATGTTCCCCCCATGACCTGGGCGTATGTCCTTACTTAGGGCGGACACCTTTCGTTGTAGTGGTTCAATGTTAAGATCACGACGACTATGCTACCAATGTTTATATTAAAGAGCAATGAACATAAACTAACCCACCTCCCCCCCCCCCAAAGAAAAAATATCTTTACTCTAAAAAAGAACACAAACATGCTACTTATTCTTTGTTGTTCTTTTTTTTTTCTCAAGGACCATTCATGGATCCATTCACTCTGCGGCGTCTCGCTGTTACATATCTATTAATAGTTAGTTATGGGATTAACACAAGCATTGTACCAGGGTACACACATAAAAGTAAGAAAATAATAGCCGATTACTTAGAATTAGAGCGTGAATTCGCTGAGAAATATATTTCGAGGCAAACCCGTCTCTTTCTTTGCGTGTGATTCTGCAGCTGTGTACACATGCACTTGGCTGGAAATGTCTTATGAATTCAATAATAAATTTAATGTCCAAGCAATGCCAAAATCATGTCCAACACGTAAAACCTCGAAGCCCTTTCAGGCCAGTACTTTATTTCTACGTGGTGGATTACGCTTTTAGTGCAAGGAAAAAAAATGAATGAATTATTTCCAAGTTGACGTACGTTTGTGAAGGTATATCTTTGAGCTGAACAAGTCATACGGTGACTAAGCAGACTTCGTTTAGAGCAAATGTCATTATAAGGGGACGCAATTCTGCTTTACATAAATAGCTCAGTGATAGCAGTGGTATTTCGTGAGCCGTATTGTTTTGGGCGATCTAGCCAACCACGACTTTGATAATCTTCTTAATTCTCGTTATTTAACTTCATTATCGGTGTTCGTCAACTGCACACAATTTGATAGGAGAGCACTAGATTACTGTAATGAAACATTGAAATACATACTTCGTATGTTTTGCCATAAATAAATGTTTAATCTTCAAAGGTTAGGTTCTTCAAATTACTCAAATGATTAGATAACTCCCTGTATTTAAGATCAATGTGTTCACACCTTGAATAATGTGATTGTGATTAGATATTCTGCTTTCAGAAAAACCAAAAACTCAGAAAATGCGGATTCTATTCTCAGTCCTGCACACCATGGCGTGCACACAAGCGTTCGTTGTCTTCAGCTTCCTCAACCAGAAAAACACCAAGACCAGCCCAGGGGACGAGTTGAGATCCTTCACATTGGATTTGACGGGCTCTCGTATGTAAGTGTTTGGGGTTATCAGTAGCACATCCCACTTGCATGGGAGAGGAGAGTATCTTTCTTGCTTTTGACATGTCATTAACACCTATCAAAATAACTTTATTGATAATTTAGGGGGGAGAAGAGTTAAGATATAGCTCCCCACTACAAGAACTACATAGGATTCACTATTAAGCTTAAGAATTTTTTTTACTGTATCATTTTAATTTTTCACATAGCTTACAGTGAGATCTGTCTAAACTGATCAGTTTAAAAATTTTTATCTTACTCAACACAGGTAAACTAACTTTAAGCAAATATTTTGTTAATTGTTTTGTTAAAGGATAGTCATTATGTCTTCGTTTTGCAAGTTTTGTGCCCCTGTGCCATGTCTTGCCACACCTTACTTACGACTCTGATAAGATATTCAATTGTCTTTGAACCCAGCTTTTCTGTTTCACTATCTCAGATTCCTTCACATGAAAGGTAGTAGTTAACATATTTTCTGGAAACAAATTACTGAGCAGGATTACAACTAATTGTTTAATCTGGTGTGATAGAACCCAAAAAATTACTTTAAATTTACGCTTGTCACCAACTTGCTTGGTTATTCTTCCCCAGAGTTGAAAACGTGTGCAAGGGAACTCACGGCACGGGCGTTATATTCCGACTGGATCCCAAACAACAAACGATGACAGTCGTTGAGAAAGACGACGACCCCAACAGGGAAGCCAAAGTCAAATCGTGTCTGACCACAGACGCCGAATCTTCACAATGTAATTATTGCGGGACTGACTTGTGCCAGTGGGCCGTCTCCATCCCGTGCCACACCAGGGCAGGCACTTCCAGATGGGACACGACGCTTGAGATAGACGTTGCCCTGGACCAAGGAAACGTCACGCTGTGCAATGTCATGTGTTTGGACCTGGGCTACTTTGACGAGGAAAAGGAAGGTGGGGGGAATGGTATAACGTATGAAGTAACTGGGATGATCGTTGGTGGAATGCTTGTGTTGCTGGGCCTTGTACCCCTCATCGGCGTGGCTATATTTGTGTTGCTAATGAAACGGAGATAGACTAACTCCTTCCGTTTTTTTCTTTTTGAATCACTATGTTGGAAAATGACGTTTATTTAAGCCGCGTGCAAGAACGTGAGCTTGAAAAAGTGTTCAGATATATATATATATTATATTAGGCAATAAAATGTATGTCTCTGGTATTTTAGAACATTTTAACTATGGCTAAATATATCGATACATTTGAAATATGTTCAAAACATGTTTGCTTGTCTATTTTTAGTTTGGCAGTTTTGCCATTACTTTTGTAACAAAATGAGTCTGTATTTTAACAATGCTAATTTTCTTCGCTTTAAAAGATTCTATAAATATATGCTGTTCTGTATACTCATCATGGCATGGAAGGCTTGTGAATACACGAGTTATATAGATACCATTCTTTGTATTCTTACTCCGAGGTTTTGGTTACAATGGTATGAACAATTAATGAAAGCATTAAAAAATACTTTAATGTTTGAGTTTGACCCAGCAACCTTGAAAGATTTTTTTTTTTAAATTGATCAATAACCTATTGTCGATTGTTTCCGAGAGCTTTTTAAATTAACTCTTTGAGTAATTGAATAATTCAACTTAAACTCTTAATATTTCACTGTTCACATTCAAATATTAATTTAAATGTTTGTTATTCAGTGCCTCTGTTACTAACTCATGTTTGTTATTCAGTGCCTATGTTACTAACTCATGTTTGTTATTCAATGCCTCTGTTACTAACTCATGTTTGTTATTCAGTGCCTCTGCTACTAACTCATGTTTGTTATTCAGTGCCTCTGTTACTAACTCATGTTTGTTATTCACTGCCTCTGTTACTAACTCATGTTTGTTATTCAGTGCCTCTGTTACTAACTCATTGAAACGTGAGCAGCCGATGATTACGCCTTCAACACTTATATCAATCCCGTCATAAGGACAGATTCCACAGATCTGAGCGCATCTTTAAACTATTCTTGGCTGAAAACCGGTTGAAGTGTATTTTTCATTCAATAATCCTAAATTTGATACTGACCCAACAACTTTGATACAGAATATGGCTATGTTTTGGTTTATTTCTTTTTATTTAATATCCATTCTGTGTTAAACTGATATCTCGGATTGAGTTATTTACAATTGTATACTAATTTTTCATGTGCTTTCAGAAACACTATTTTTTTTTTACAAGATGTATGTATTTATTTTCCAATACTATACTTTAACGCCAACATCACAATGGTGTACCCTATTTCGGGGAATACATGTAATAAATAAAAGGAGAAATAAAAGCTCAGTTGATCACAAAAATTGTAGAAATTGTTCTTTCCATCTATTTATATATAATTCGCCAGAAGTGGGGCAAACACCACCACGCAGGCTAAATATAGATACACCAGAGCCAGCAAGAAGTAGACAAACCCTCCCCTCTCTTTCCTTGCCTGCCCATCGTTGGTCTCGAGACATGCGCAGTGCGGTGGAGCTACCGCCCCCACCCTCCTGCACCACCCTCGCTTGCCAGTCAAGCTCGCGGTGTATTTAAAGCGCGAGTCGCGTATCATGAAAAAAAAGCGGGGGGGGGGGGGGGGGGGGCGGGGAGGGGGGGGAATTGGTGTAGCAAAATTGGCATTCTTAAGTGACCGAAACTTGAGTTCACGTTTTTGTCAAGTAACTTTAGTCGATGGGAAGTTCACGCCGCCAAGTTTGGCGGGCTATATCTAGTTCATTATATTTGATAAATCCTAATGCTTAATGAAAGTAAGATAAAACGAGTTTTAATTATGTGGAATACTTAGGCTTCTTAATGATAGCCAATGTAGCGTACTTCCTCACACTACACAAGAAAAAATATAAATCCTCACTCTTAACGAGACCATTGGAGAAAAACCATAGAAAAGTTAAATATTTTAATAGATCATCACTTTGGAGATGGTGTCGGTGGGTCATCGAGTTTGGACTCATAATACTCCCCTTGGCACTCCCCCGAAAATGGGCCAGAGCCGAGGCTCCAGACCGTGCGGAAGCGCACCAGGAATTTCCCTCCTGGCCTGAGGGACGTCCAGTCGAACGATGGCGCTGCGTTTAAAGCGTCCGTAGTCCACTCTCCTATGGGTCAGGACGGCTTTACTTCCTCTCCGGAGATGTGGTGTTGCGTTACCACTCCCCACCGCCCAGGGAGCTGTCCGGTCAGGACGTAGCGGGGACGAAACGGTCGCCTAGGGGCGGCTTTCTCAGGGCCGCGTCTTTTTAATCATTGACAAGGGTTTGGGCGGCCCCCCATTGCCTCATACCCATCAACGGATATAGTAATCATGTTAGTGCCGGCCTTCCGTTGCGTTGGAAGGTCATGCGAGCTTCGGGATTTTTTAGCTTCGGGGAGTTGCCCCCCTACTAGTAGTCCACGCCACGAAGAGGCAAAATCCCATGTGGCACCACCATGCAGTGGTGTTGCTCCGTGGTCTAGAGGCGTTCGACCCCGGACGCAAATGATTCTAACAGATCAAAATAAACGAATAATTAAAATGTTGATTAACACCTTTTAAAAAAAAATTAAAAATAGTAATCAAAGATCCGATTAAAAGTGCCATGCAGGCTGTACCGTATACCTTACTATGGTATTTGAAAATTGAATACCGCATTTCAGATGTCTTTAGTAAAAAAAAATAACTGTAGTTAGTTGTAGCCTAGTGATTGCTATTTTTCTTTAAATTTCTCATCAGGATCTTGTCAGCTCATCAAATTTCCGCTCCTTACGACATTGAATAGTTGCTTACAGATCAAGAATTTTAAACCACAAACGAATTCGAGCTCAATAAAATGCTTCTAACACTAAAACCAATGTTCCCATCGGTAGTACCACACAGTCCTTAGTGCTGTTATATGGCCCATATGGGATGTTTTGAGTAGGTTCCCTAAATTAAACAAATTTAGCTGGAGACTCAGCCACTGTTTAATTTCGTTGTAAATGATTTTTACAAATGTGATGCAAGGGAAAGAACCTTAAAACAGAGTTACATTTTCATAATCTTCAGTTGCGTCCCTATTTAATACTATATTGAAAAGTAAATCAATTCTATTTTTTTTTATTATTATTTACTTTTTTTTAAAAAGAAATAATTACAATACGTTTTGCGATTATGTTCTGTGCTTATTTTATTTTTACTTATGCACTAAACTTTGCCCTGCTATGCAATGTGCGAGATAGTTTTTCACATCAGTAAATCTTTATTGACTAGTGTTTAATTTGTTAGTCTATTGAAAGAAATATTAAAGATCTACTCCACTTTAGTGACGTTACGAGAAAAAAATTAACTTCACTATATTCACTTTATTAACTATACTCGCTATATTCACTACATTAACTACATTCACTATATCTTTACACCATATTCGCCTCGGTTGAAAGCTCACACACAAGACTTGGTAGGCCATTCTTAACAGGCGGATGTAATGGGTCGGGTTACCTGAAGTGGTGTGTTATTGTCACCGTATTCTTTGGAATCTCATATGATTTTGGCTCCCTCTTTGCGTCCCACCCTCCCAAAAAACAAAAAACAACAAACTCAAATATCATCAGACGTTCGTATTAGCAACAAGGAAGTAAATATATTTTTATAAAGAAATTAATATATCCCATCTTTAGATTGTCTAACTAGGTTTTGAAGTTGTCACTATATTGTTCCTGAGTCAGCTTGATGAGATCAATCTGGAGGTCTCATATGAGTATCTGTAGATGTCGATGTAAAATATAAGTATTTTCTAAGAAGCTTTTTAATAATATTATAATAGTTCCCTTTGTTTTTTGTATAATATTAATAAAACTCTTCTTAGAAAATGCTTGATGTAGACCGAAAGCTTAACCCATCTATTTTTTAATGGTTCCTCCCATTTAAATGTCCAGACAAAGGCCTTGAACCATATTAATTATCGTTGAAACACGCGTTCGTATTGGTCGATATTTAAAATTGTTCGTTTATCCGAAATTATCACTGGTCGGCTTATTTTAGATTTCACCAAGATTTTAAAAAAAGTTTATTGAATGTTGGGCTACGTTAAAAATGTCCATACAGTAGGCCCACTACATAATTATCATACGAAACAGTGATACATGCTCGCGTGTGTAGGCTTATGATTGAAGTAATTTAAACAACGGCTATTTTAGGTCTAATTATACAAAGGTGAAATAAATATTTATATTTTAAAAATATTTTAAATGGTTCATTATTCATGTTCTTTACATTTGTATCCATACACGAGATTAATTTGATGTGATTTTTTAACATTATTATCTCGTTGTCAATGAATGAGGTGAATGAATAAGCAAAGGATTCCCTAATATGAAAATGAACAAATGGCAACTCTCGTATCTGAAACCGAAACCGATACATTATTTGTAATTTCCAACATGAGTTTAAAAAGTTCTCACAGATTCAATCGCCATTCCACTAAAAAAATTAATGGCATTAATATTCGACGAAAGCTCTAAATTAAACAAAAGATCAAAGAGATCAAAGAGATCAGTGATACCACAAAAGAGAGGAAGTGCAACGTTGACATTAATGAAGCATTGGGGTTTGTTATTCATGGCTTTTACCAAACGTTTCACAAACAACACTAATGTGCGTCTCCAAAGTAGGTAGATGCAACCTTACTAGTAGCAATAAAGTGGGCTTGTGAGCTGTAAACTGCAGTGTATTGATGTAGCGGTATAATCACCTTTAAGGTAACTTGTTTCACCATACCGTAGTATAATTTTTAACATAAATACCAATATTTACTTCCCGAAGAATTAATTTCTTTAATTTATTTTATGAACTAAATCATATTTCAATATATTCTTTTTTTTCTGGCAGAGACTGCTTCTTCATCGCTATACACACATCGCGTATTTTGTTTCTCCAAATCTGACACACATTTAAAAGTTTGTTGGTTTTTTATATTTTTTTTTTACTGTTCTCAGCTGTTTTCATGATGTCGTTGTGCACAGTAGGCGAGAAGCTGAAGACATGCTAGCAAAAATTTAGTTGCCTCTATACAAGTCATTTTAAACTACTGTATCATCAAGTCACTTAACTCTATATCTGTTCCGATTCTGAATCATATTTATTAGAGTTAATTTTAGTATCTTTTTTCAAATACTTGAATCAGTGCCGATGATAGTATCTAAAAAAAATTTCGCGTATATATTAATTTAAATAATCTTTGACTAAGCCTATCTTTTTTTAAATCATGTAATTATACAAATATAATTAGTAATAAATATCCTTCACGGGTTGAATCACTACATATACTTAAGTATGACGTGTCAATACAAAGTTAATAAATCGTTTTATATCATTTGAATTAGTAAAATGGATTGTTTTTTCAGTTGTTATGTCAAAAATTGTAAACAAATAAATAAAAATATTTTTTTTTAAAACGCGTATTTAATTACAATAAAGAGTAGAAAATATTTTTTTAATTTATTAAAATGCATTGCATAAGGAAAGATTGTGCAAAGTAAAAATGAGCGCTTTATGAACCCTAAGGATTTGAAATGAAGGTATTGGAAACATAATATGTTATTTTATATTAATGTTTTAGAATATCTCTTTCACAGACTTTTTACAATTGTAACCTTGAATTTATCGGAAAATAGTAGAAATACTTACTTTTTGAGACATCTAATGCTTACAAAATCTCGGATGAATTTACTGAATTTTGCTACTAGGGCATAATCTTTTAAAAAATTGAGATCTGCGCTCACTTAGGCTCAGTTCGCAAGTTCAAATTTCTTTCTTAGTTCATACATCTCATGTGATTTTGTATGAAGCCATATTACTACTTTCAAATTAATATTAGCTCTATTTCTATATTTAAAAAAAAAAAAAAAAAAAAAAAAAAAAAAAAAAGAATCATTCACAAAATATTGCGTTCATACAAAAATTTGTCGCTGATTTGAAATGAATTTGATCGTGTTAACAGGCGCACCTGTTTCATCAAACGCGTAGCAGACGCAATAAACAGCGATAATTTGAGTGACAGTATGTCCCGTCTCCGACGTTAATGTTGTTATGTTTTAGCAGGAGCAGCGATGATTGCTTAGTTGGTAATGTTGTGTTAGTAATGGAGTTCTTTATTTAATTAAGAGACTTTTGCTATATAGTTTGTAAAATGAATTATAAAATGAACGATGGGATTTTCTCTGTTGAAAGATTTCATTACATATAATTCTCTATGTTCGAAAGAATGTATGGTTCAATAGTGAGTTCAATAGCGCGCAAAATATAATTCTCGGTAACTATGCTTCAGAAGCAT